AAAGGCCAGCTGGTATAGTATCTGGGTGGTAGTCGAGATAACGGAATTTAATAGTCGTGGTAGTCAACATAACGGAAAAGTACGGTTTATTTTTGTAATTTTTAATAGATTTGGAAATGCACGGGGGTCAAACTAAATCAATATTGTAAAACAGTATCATTATTAATTCTTTCATTTGTATATTTTTATTGTTTGATTCAAGGAGCGCTGGGACTGATGTAATGAATTATCTTACAACATTGAAATCGATATTATAATTAAAATAAAGAGTATGAAACAATAATATTATACGGGGGTTTTAAATGGGATATCTTACCCCTGAAAATGGGTTTATTAATCAACAAAAATGTTGTACTGAGTTCTCACTTAATTATGTAAGTGTACAAAAATTAAAAACTAATATCGATTTCGATTAGATGTTTGGTATTTGCAAATTGGGTTTTAAGTGTTGTTAGGGCCCAGACACATTGTGGTATTTTCGCCGTCGAGTTCAACAGGTTTTACCAACACGGTTTTTAAGTTACCATCTAAACAACAGACTGTTTTTAAATCTACTGAGTACACGATGGACTCGATAAATACCGTGTTTAGTATGGCTCAGTCGGTTTAAGAACAGGTGTTTAGACGGCAACATAAGTACCGCGGAGGTAAAACCGTTCGGACTCGACGTCGAAAATACTTCGTTGTGGCCGGGCCCTTAGTAAAATTAGTTTTAAAATTCTTATTTGTATACAATTTGTGTACAATTATTGTTTTAAAAAATTTAGATAAAACTAAAAAATGATTATCATGTAAAAATGTGACAAACTAAAAATTCAAAAAAAATAATAATTATTGGAAATGATAAACGTGTTAATTGTTTTAAAAAAATAAACCAGGTAAGTATCGAAAAATACTTTTGTAAGCAAAAAGGATCATAACAGAAAATAACCAATGTTTCCAGGAGTGGCTAACTTATTAATATTAAAAAAGCGCCTCGTCATATCTTGTGAATAGAGTTATAAATAGGTAGTTAAATATTACTTCAAATGGCATAGAGCAATTTATGACAATATCAACCCAGTTCTCCCCACATCAAACAGTAATAATGAGTACAAATGAAATAGTTATAATTATATTCTTGTTTTATGAATTATTTTGTTTAGTGATTATTTAAATAAAATAATTAAGTTCAATATTTAAAAAAAAAAACGAAAAATCTGTTTTACTATTATTGATAAACTGAATATACCAACGGTTACCACTTTATGTGACAACAATTATGACAAAAATAGTGTCAGTCTCTCACAACCAATTTTCATGTATTATTCTAATTTGTACCCCCCCCCCCCCCTCTGTTTTTTGCAATGATTTTCCATTCGGCAGTAGTTCAGTTTTCTTATGGAATTCGTACTACAACTCTTCAATTACTTGATCGATGTCTTGACAAGGTATACCTACTCATAGTTTATATCTTATTCTTCTTATCATTATTTTTCTTTTTGTTCAAACTGTAATTTTGGTTCGATGTTCAAGTTCACTCAATTTCCTTCGTATCTCTTTTTATCATATTTATAACACCACTGTTTGATTATCCAACTGTTTTGTTGTTTTGTGTTGTCTTGATTTCATACGTTTTGAAATAACTTGAATGTTGTTTTTCAAGTAAAATAATATAATGAAGTCCCTCCTACCAGATTATAGTTTGTAAAAAATATAGCAGTATAATGTATCAATGTGTTTTTATGAAAAATAATTGTATATCAAACCGTTTACATCTAAAGACTAAAATGAAGATCGAAAAAAGTTGTTATTTTTTTACGAAATTTAAATTTTCGAACTGACTACCCACTTGATAAAAAAATGTATTCTATCTGGATCACTTAGGTGGATACACAGACCTTCGGGAAACATATTTTTGGTAACACAACCCGTGGACAAATATTATTGTATTCTTAAGGATAAAACGGAGAAAAAAATTTAGCCCACAGGAGTGGCACGTATAAGCCTTAATATATATATAATGAATTGTTATTAATATTATACAAGTAGGTACATTAGTGTCCCGAAACAAATACTATGTAGTCATATAGAAGATAATCTTGACTTACAGGTGTACAGAGTAAATATTATTTCTAAAAATAATTAACTAAACTAAACAAGATAATATAGTAGTATATGCTATCAACACAACTCACCGCTTTTCATTTAATCAAAATTTGGCTGCTCTAAAGGAATATTCGTTTCACGTATCCGTTGTATAATTGACTTTCTTGTTCGCCGTTTTTGAATACAATATAGCTCGCTTGATGTGCATACTTCGAAACGCAGGTACCGAAACGCCAGAATAGTATTCAAGTCCAATCACGATACATATTATTATTGAACGTTAATCAAAATAAATTACTTTAGAAACTATGAAAAAACATTTAAACTAATTTTAAAATTGCTCGCTAAAAAATTAAATCGACTATGGAAACTAAAACAAATTATGACCTTTCGGTCGAAAAAAAAATGAAAATAGAAACTCATGAATTTGTTCGGATTAAAAATATAAACAACTGTTTAATAAAACAGACTATGAAAAAAACAAACATGTGTTGTAGGTACCTATTGTGGCCAGGACAGTTTTTATACATATTACTTTTCAGCCAACATAATAATATTATAATAATAAGTTTCACTTGTTATTATACATATAAATTCTTTATACCAACAACCATTATTATTTTTATACTATAAATATTTTATTACAATATTAAAAGAAAATATGCAATATACATATATTACGTTACGCTATACCTACAACGTATAAGGTTCATATACATATTATAATCTACTTTCTATAGTGCATCGTTTCATAATTTTATGATTTTTCATTCAAACATTTTATCTAACAGACTAAATTCAGATGAAAAACAAACTATACAATATGCATGCAATAATACTGTATACCTGCAATATTGCTATGGTTGTATACTGTAGCTGTTTTAATGATAATAGAGGTAATTTAAAAACGAAAATTTTAAAGTATTTTATCCAAACATAGTGTCATAATTTCACACGTAGGTATATTGGGTATACCTAACCTATTATTAATCGTAAGTCATCTATGTATTTTGTGATTTATAGCTATTTTAAACTAAATTATTCAGTTTTTTATTCATAATAGGAGAAATGTAACCAATAATAATTACTCTAAATAGTTTTGTGAATAGGTACCCATAATTATTTACTATTATATTATTATAATTTTGGGGGACGCGGGTGGCCAAGCGGTCTAAGGCATCGGTTGCGACGCTGCCGGCGCCGGTTCGATCCCGTGGTCACGGGCGGCATTTTTCTTCGGGCAAGTCACGGTGTCCCGAGAACAAATGCCACCATCCCTCACCCGGGCATGGCAGATACGTACGGGTGCCCAAATCGAAAATTCTGACAAAACCCACTACAGTACCACAGGCTAATGACCTTTGTTGTCGAAGAATCAACCCTAATAAAAAAAAAAAAATGATTATTATTTTTTTTATTTTATTTTTTTATTTTTATTTATTCTTCAAGAAGATAATCGGCCCAACTGAACATGTTCGTGTGGGGGCCCATAAAAATATAGTTTAGAAAAGTATCTCTCATCACTGCTGTATGTAAATACAAATACAATGTACAATATAATATAATATATATTATATAGGTACCTACTCCAATACACATCGAAACGACAATTAATTATTTCAATAATTATTAAAAAAAATCGTCATTTTAGATTGAAACGAGATCTGTGCGCAGTCACGTCGCGTCAGTATCAATTCAACTTACGTTTAAAACTTGGACTTAGAACGAAGTCCGCCGAATCCGAACTCTTATTCATTGTTAAATCGCCTTCAAAGGTCGCCCTGCGAACGGACGTTATTTATTATATTGTTTTCTTGTGATTTTTCTCGTTTTCGTTCATTTCCGTAATTCACGTACCTATATATTATTATGCCAGTGAACGAGGGGGTCGCATTTCAGTCAACCGTGCATATATGAATAGGTTATTATTATATTCAGATGCTGCACAATGACATCGGCACATTAGGTACTTAATATAATATCAAAAGTCACGTCGGTCTATCTTACTCGATTTCTGGTATGTGGTTATCACCCGATTATTATAATTATTATTATCTTGTCGTATTTATTGGTAGGTAACGATATTATTCCTATTGGAAAATAAATGTTTACTCGGTTTGCGAGGAGCAACGGTTAATATTTCTGGTTTCAGTTGGTACCTACTCGTCTATATTATAATATGCGACAGGCAATGGTATCGTAAACACACACAATATGATCGTAAATCGAATTTATTAATTAAGTGTGTTCGTGTTCAAATTTTTGTAGGTACCTACATTGTTATTGTATATTGCCTATTCTTATATTATACTGATATACTTAAGTGAAACCCATATTGTTAGAACGTTATAAAGTTACTTTAAAAGTAAAAATCTACAATGTTTTAAACAAATTTAAAAAAATTATGTTAAAAATCAAAAACTATCAAATGATTTAAAACGATAACTTCTTGTATGATTAGAAAGCACACGAGACGTATTACATAATATTATGTATAAATGAGCGTTGTCGAGTTGGAAAACAATATGCAGAGTGCATAAATACTCAGCCCTACTTATAACCAGAGGTGTAAAGAAAGGGGGGGGGGGCTAAGATTTAACCACATCAAAAATATTCTTATAAATACCTTATTGATTTAATTATAATTATTATATTATAAGCCGTCGATGGGTCATTTGAAATTAATAATTTTGTTAAGTTTACCTTAGATGGGTATATGCTTATGACTAGCCATGTACTTATTGATTTACTAGATCCCTAACTACAATAGACGCGATCTCGTTTGAAATTTGATTTTTATTAAAATTCTCGGAAAAATATTTTCAAAAACCGTAAATACCTTTCGAGTGATATTTACTATTGAAAGAATAACCTGGTTTAACACTTCGTTGTTGTTGTGTGTGCTGCAGAAGTCAGTATTGTTCATACCGGCATACCGCCCCCACAACACATCCGCGATCGCGAATATTGTACAGGTCCAACGCAACGACCACGTTACCGAGCGGCGTCAATAGGTCGGTCGGTGGTTGAAGGGAGGTGTACCGCGGCTTGTTCATACCGATCGATGCACTCGACGACCGCGGCCTGTCATGCAGTGCTGACCGGGCGTCGTCAGGCAACACGGAGGCGGAGACGGAAACGGTCACGGCCGATGCACCGGTGGACGGCTGTGCCGCCGCCGTCGTGTGCGCGTACAAGCTGGACGTGGAGCAGATCGGCCGGGAGATACTGTCCGGTGGCCGCGGTCGCCGGGCCCTCAGCGAACAGGGGCCGCACCCGCGGGACGTCCAACAGCAACAGCACCTGTGGGAGGGCGGCTGCCCGTGGGCCGTCAAACGAACTTCCGCGCCAGCCATGACCACGCAGGCCAGCGGTTCCATGAGCGTGGCCCTAGTGCTCAGAAAACGCCGGTCGTGGCCTGTCGCACCGCTCAAGACCCGAAGGTTAGTCATATCTGAGCACGGCACGCTCTCGCCGGTGGTGTAATGATAATAATGTAAAATATAATATTATTATGACTCGTCCAGTTCGTCTGCCAACTTAGAGACCGTTTCGATGTTAAAAAAACCAGGGGTCTGAAAACCCTTATTGTATTGAAAAAAATAAATTTTTTTAATCACTGTTTTTTTTTAAACTTTAACGAATTACGAGTGTCAAGATGAAATGGACGGGCTACATACTAGTTGTAAAACCTGACTTCACCCGAGCAAAAATGAGCAAACACAAAATACAGTGCTATAAGGTGTATCCTGGCCCACGTAGTCATCGGTGTATCATTGTGAACTAATTCCACTGAGGTGATAAATCTACCTGTTGACTATGTTTATTTTCAAAAATAGTGCAAACTACTTCCTGAAATTCCCTGATATCTCTAAAAAGAATATTGAAAACTTTCGTCAAAATTTTTTGAGTCCATGAGCCATAATATTATACAAACATGAGGACATTGTGTTAAACTCTCGAATAACAAAAATAAACTAATTATTATTATCAAAAAAAATAACAATCCATAATAAAGCATAGTGGGTTGGTAGTCTAATAGTTTTCCATTGAAATATCTATAGGTAATTTTACTTATGTCTTCAATAAATTGTAAATTTAAAAATATGTTGTGCCATGAGGCCTTAATATTAGTAAAAGCAATACGATTAAAATAATAATATTGATAACACGACAACAGGTCCCAGAAATCACCTAGACCAATAAACACAGATAATTTTTTAAAATGTATGATTATGCGAGGATACACTAAAGTCATCAAATATTTTTAAAAATACGAGATAGGTAACTATTTTTTTAATTGCCAACCTGCATTATTTCTGTGCTCCGAAGTTCGTTGTGTTAGAAGCATGATGATCAACATATTCCACAATAATTAACAGTTACAATATTAAAACCTATGTTTGAAAAATATACTGAACGTATTAAGTTACGTGGTCGCAGTTTATTATAATTGATTTGGTCATTGAAATAATAATATAATACAGAACATAATATTTTGTATAGTGACAAGCGAATCTCATACGAAAATTTTTTACGATTTTTATATTTAAGTTTTATCGATTGTTATAAGTTTGTTTTTTCTATACGTAATGTTCAATGAGAGGATATTATAATACTATTATGTGCCTATGCCCGCAGCGGGATTGTTTCTCGAAAACCGCGTTCTTCCATTGTACTTCCGTACTTCCGTCACTCGGAAACATTCAAGGTATAATATTATTATCTACAACACACATCCGGTGTGCTCCAGACCGATCTGGCCTACTCGGTGGTGAAATTCTCCCAGCGAGGTTTATTTTTTAAATCATTAAGGATTTTAATTCTTTATATTTGACTTGATAATATCGTTGCAATCGTCATTGGCTCACCTGACTCCTGAGTGCGTCATCGAAGTCGTGATTACAAAAATTCTTTTTTAATAAAAATGTTATTCATCAGACGTTTCTATACGTAAACACCAACAGAATTGACGAATTTAACGGGATACATTATATTATTGTTGTATAATATACCTACGTATATGGTCGTATTGGTCGTCCCGTCCAATTATAGTGTTTCGATTGAGGACTAGATGAGACGCGGTGAAAAAAAAAAAAATATTATGTTACTGTTGAATTGACTATTATTGCAAAACCTAAGTGGAAAAACTTTTTTTCAGAACCTTCACCAGTACAATTCACTGTACCTTCAATATTTGTTTTCATAATATTATGAATTGTGAAGTATAAAATTGGAGTTGCCTTAACTGTTGACACGAATCAGGATTAAATATGCAAACAATATTTAAACAATTTACGTATCGCAGATAGAACTGTTATTTTAATACGTTGGTAATAATGAACTACTTTTTTGTATTTGACGATACAGAGACTGGGTTAAAATCCAGAATCCAAAATACAATATTGTCGATTTTATCTTGAGGAAAATCACTTTAAAATTGATTTATGAACGAATTTTTAAAATCAACATTGATGTATTTATTAATATGCTGCTGATTGAGTATGTGAGTGTACATATGCCGGAATTCAATTCAACTAAAAGAGTAATATATATTTTTTTTATCTAAATAAATGATTTAAAAAATGTATTATATATAAAATATTTTAAACGAAACTACTTGTTTGGAACAATTTCTAACCCTGTATGGCTGCATGGTAACCTACTGTACAGCAGAGTGACATCCACTTAACCACCTTTCCTACTTAATTTTTTTAGCTTATACCACGTTTTTGAAAATTACTCGGAATTTTAGATTCTGAGTGGAACGATGAATGTATTGATTTTACAATGATGTGTGTTTTTTGTTTTTTTTTTTTTTTTTTTTTATTTTTTTTTTTTTTTTGGTGTCTGTGTACACGATAAGTAGTCGAAATAATGCTTCGATTTTCAACTTCGGTATCTTGTTCGATTGGAAAGTGAATATCGTTGGTGCATTGGGGAGGTCAAAATTTAAATTCAGGAGACTCAGGAGACTGTAAGAAAATGATCCCTTAATATTTAAAAAATATAATTAGGTACCAAGGTGCTATAAACAGATAATCTGTTCACTATTTTGTAATCTCAGTTAAGATTTTTTTTTCACGGCCACGGACTACTGTACTGTAGCACAGTAGCATAGTGGCCAATCCAGCTAGTCAATAAAAAATGTTTATCTTTTTTAATATTAACAAAAAAGAGTATATAGGTACTGTACAATAAAGGTATATTTTAAAATTGTATTTTACTTGTACAAAATTGTACATAAAATAGTACATAATACTGTACCATTGAAAGTTGAATTAGTTCAACTTTTGGCAAAGGGAGTGCTGGGGAAACGTTTCTCCAGCACGCGCCTGGCAAAAACGGGTTTTCTCGTGTTTGGGGGGGGGGGGGGGGTGTACAAAATTGTATGCAGGCGCGGCGGCGCAATTGAAATGTTCACTTTTTTGTACCTACCTTAATATCTTCAGGCGCAATTGATGAATAAAAATATAACCTTTTTGAATCACATAACTTTTTTTATTTTCGAATAGGCCACGTGATTATATAATTATAATAATTACTTTTTGAGATATAAAATATATTTAATTCATATGCATACTATGCTGGTATGTTATAATATTATATTATAATAATTAAACTGAAAAGTGAAAGCAATAAATAATATTGTTGCCAAATTAGAAGATACCAACAAAAATACACTTGCGACAGTAATGTAGGTAAATAGCCTATACAGAGTTCCGTGTAATTGTTATAAATTATAATAAAATACTTGAAAGACTTGAAACTATTCAAATTACCTATTGCCTATTGTACATTTGAAAAATAAATAAATAATAATACACATCTCATATTCTGACGAGGCAGATTCTCTTCAGATTTTCAAGGTAGGAACTATTTACGAGAAACCTTGTTTAAAATTTACAATCATTAGCTATCTATATAAACTAATTATTTTATAATTTTTCAACCTTCAAAATGATATGCAATTTTTCGTGATCTTATAGAATTTTGTTAACATTTGAACTTTTAAACAAAAATTGTACTTGCGTATCTTTAATATTTTTGAACTGATGTTATAACGACTTACGAGGAACTAGAATTAAATGGTCAAGCTTTTAAACCCAGAGACATTTTTTCTGTTGATATATTTTATAGAAAAGAAATTTAAAATTTGAATCGACTGTAAATAACTCAAAAAGATTCAAAATATTTTAAAAATATAATTTATAATATACAGATTGTCAGATAAAAATTTACTATCAAATAGGAAAATCGGGTTCATAGTAGTTAAAAACCATGACACACATACCTGTGTTTGATACCTACCGTAACAACCGTAACAATCGTAAAAATAACCTACCGTACAAACCTAACCTACCCCTACTTAGTTATAAGTTAATAACAGATAGCTAGTAATATTATGATAATTATCATAAAATAAATGAGATTTGCCATTGAACGAGTTCAACCTATTATAGGTACTTACTGTATTAAATAAACAATAAAATAATAATATACATACCTATTACATAGCTACATATACATATAATAATAAGAATAATAATAATAGTTTTTTTTATTATATGTACATAATTTAAGAAAATATTTGTAAAAATGTAAATTGTATAGGTACATCAACAGGATAATACTTCATCATTAAGTTAGGTAGGTATTAGAAAAATAAATATATAAATAACGTTTTACTTAAAACTAATAGTTATGTTTTTGATTATTTGCTTTTTCTTTCTTCATTTTCTGTAGAAAGATTCATTCGATTTTGTAAATGACTTCAGTATAAAAATCCATCAATCATAATATCAACTGCAAAATAGGTACATCATTATATTTTATAAATATTAAATTATCAAACATCAATTAATGTGAACTCGGTTATATTAGGTAGTATAAAATGTATTATATATAATACTTTTATGGCTTTATTCGCATTTCGCAATAGATTTAAATACGTCAATACGTTTGATGTATACTCACAAAATAAATTATGCTCGAAGAAAATCAACCGTAATTATTATGAACAAAATTTAAAAAAATGACTCAAGTTTTTAAGTAGGTATAAAGTTTTTAATGGTTTTATTAAAATAATGAAAAATAAATAAAAACTATTTAGTCTTATTGTATAATACAGCCATATATAGGTATCTAGATATAAGAACATATACTAAATTACCAACCCCCCCCCCCAAAAAAAAAATGTTTTACATGTGGCCTTTTAATGATCTGAATGGCTGCAAACATTTTGGCACCAACAAAAAAAAAATTGAAATGACGCCCCTGAATGGCTGAATATATGTACATACTAAATAACAAAACAAATTGCGCTCTGCATGATGCTAGGTAGATAAATATTTTCAAGTCGGTTATCGCCACTTATGTCCTAGCATACCTACACACGTAAACTCATCACTTGTGTATTGAGATATGCAGTGGCGTAGCCAGAATTATGAAA